TGCCCTGAATATGCTTCTCAGCTCTTTGGAGAAGTGTCATCGCTGGCAAGATGCCCTGTTTCACCTGAGGACATTTTCTTGCACTTCACTCAAGAGACTCCCTGACTTGGCAGCTTACAACAGCGCAATAAGCGCCTGTGCCAAAGTAGCACGCTGGACTTTGGCACTGAGCATCGCAGCGGAGATTGGCTCCAATGAATGGGACAAAATCACACTCGGTAGCCTTGTGTTAGCTTGTCAAACGGGCCGCTGGACCTTGGCTTTGTGGCTGCTGGAGCAGGGACGGCTCCAACATATTCAGCCCAATCAAATTGCAATTCATTCAGCCATTGTTGCATGTGGTGGACGACATTGGCCATGGGCAATACATTTGCTCGAGGAGTCCACGGCTCAGCGGGTAGTTCCTGATGCAAGCATGTTGGGTGCTGTGATATCAAGCTGTGAAAAGGGTCATCAATGGAGTCGTTGCTTGCATCTTCTAAGCACGGCCTTTGGCATGCAATGTCCCCCGGATATCGCTGCTTTGACGAGCAGTATCAGTGCCTGTGCCAAAGCACATCGCTGGGAAGCCACCTTGCAATTGGTCCGCGAGGCACGGATTCGTTCCAAGTCACTTTGGAAGTGTTGCGAGAGTTTGGGAGACATGTTTTAGATGATCACTCACGATGGTAAAGAATACGGAACTTGTCAAGCCCATTTGCCTTTCCAGTTGGGTTTGGAGTGCTTTCAATCTAGTGTTGGGCTCAAGCCCAGGCAGCCTGGGTTCAAAGCAACCCTGGAGTTTAGCTTATGAGCGATGGCCATGAACAGACCACGGCTGAAACAGGCAGGAGTCTGAAAAAGAATCAAACCCTCATTGAGGCGTATCTCAAGAAGAGTGCAGCAATGTCCTTGGTATGGGTTTTACATGAGGAGCAGCCCCTAGGAGGACTTCTAGGAGGACTTGCATTCGTCCCTGAAAATGGACCGAATGTCTCATATGTAGGCCTACACTTGCTGCCAATATTATTCTGACAGAGGATTTAGATTATTGACATACTTACTGTATAAATTACTGTATACTCAACACATTGCAGAAGCATTTTTGCTCATGCCATTCCTGAAGGCCAGGATGGGCATGGACATGCTGAGGAAGACTGCTGTGAAGATTCAGATCTTCCAAAGGGCGACAAGCTTGTTGGTGGCTTGATTCTGCGCGGAAATCATTGTGTCCTCATCCGATCGCTCTCGGGTGAGTGGGAAGGTATGCGACTACCATGGGGTGCAGCAGATGTTGGAGAGGGAAGTGGAGCCGCGGCGTTGAGAATTGTGTCTGAACTGTGTGACATCGAAGCGAGTGAAGTTCAAGTCTTGGAAGATTTGGCCCCAGTGACCGTGGCAGTCCCTGGCATGCCCATTTTTCTCTATGCCCTGTATGCTGTCAATCCACCACCAGCTGGCTTTGTGCCTGACGTGGAAGATCCAGAGGACATCTATGACTGGCAACTTGGCAAGACAAGATGTCAAAAGACCGGCTGATAAGCCACACACACGGAACAAGAAGCTACTAGGGGCTCCTGGCCGTACTACTAGGAGCAAGGACGCTACTAGGGCTCCTGGCATCGCTACTAGGAACAAGCTACACAGAGATGGACCATCATGGACCAAAATATCGGCAAATCCTGTGCATCGAGAAGACGATGTGCTACTAGTGCGTGGCACTTGTTACTACTAGTGTGGCACTTGTTTCTAATAGCTTCTTGTTACTACTAGAAGACATTTTAAGCGGCTCTTTTTCAGGTACACATTCCCTCGTGCCATGAACGCGCTGGCCAAAGACGTCTATGCGCGGGCAGCTTTGGTGACCATGGCTTGTGCATTGGCTGCTGCAGGTGAGACTCACCGTGAGATCAGCATTGCTCGTGTGCTTGTCTTTCAACCCATTCTTCCACCTGAAACAAGTGAAAGACATTTGACAGCTGTGCACCTGTGAAGACTAAGACAGGTATTGTGCCAAATCGGTGGGGTGGAATCTTTGGACAGGCGCATCAGCAGCTTGCTTTCTTTTGTTCTAAAGGACACAGAAGCCCTTCTTACATATCTATATAATCTGATTTGCCTAGTGAAGCACATCCCTCAACCTGCATTTTTGTCCCGAACACCGAACAAGCGATGCCAGGAGTGGACAACCCCTGCCTTCAAAATGCTGCCGGATCCAGGCTGGTGGACGACTCAGACGCGCAGACCGGACTCAGACGTCGCCAGGTCTCAGCTTGGAGGATGTGAAGGAAATCCGGGAGGTGTGAATGGTTTTGCATGGAATGGTGCTGCTGAGATCATCTTGCACTGAAGAAATCCGGTGTGACATGTTGTGACATGCAGGAGTCTCCTGCTGCTTCTGGTTCCAGAAATGCAGGCCAGATAGGCCAGGGGGTTGTCTTGGAGATGTTTCAGGTGAACAAACAAGCTCTTGTCGCGCTTCCGCAGGACTAGGACTCCAAAAGTACTAGGTGTGTAACGTCCGTCCAATGTACTACAAACTCCTTGGATCGCCGAGATCATGGTGCAGTGCAGGCAATCCTGCAAAGCGGAAGAGAGAGGACCTGAATGAGCTTGATGAGCAGTCGTAAGACCGCGGAACCAAAAGAGCCAGCTCGTGAGTCAGTGCGATTGCCAACGGGTTGAATACACAAGAGAGTGCATGCGTAACTCACCTCAGTTTGGCACCGATGTTTTGCTCCTTCCTTCGTTCGTAACAAGGACGCTATTAGGTGGAGGCCATCACAAGTAGGGTGGAGGCCATCGCTACTAGTAACAAGAATTTATGCATGCGCTTGCAGGTGATTGCTTTTTGGAACGTGCTTCCGGACTCAGTCGCGCCCTCGGTGGGCACAATCATTGCATGCGATAGCAGTAGCATGCGTCGAGGCAATGACTGGTGCCGCATTGACTGCCTTCTTTGGTCGACCAAGTGGCGGGATGCTCAAGTATGTACGAAGCGACTTGGTGGTGGCACAGATCTCGAACCGCCCTGATTGAATTGTATCAGATCCAATGCCTGTTTCATCCTTCTTCTTCCTCCTTTTTTCGTATGGCAAATGGAGGCAAATGGATGCAAATGGCATCCATTTGATGGGAAGGAACTCCCAATACAGTTCAATGAAATCAGAACTGAAATGCGATCACAGACTTTTAGCGGAGCTGGAAGACCATCCAAGGCCAACATGGGCAACTCACAGAGGCTTTGCTCGCAAAATCCTCAGACTGCATGGACCACTCACTCATTCAGTGAGTTTTGTGATTAGCAAGGACGCTACTAGGGGCTCCTGGCATCGCTACTAGGAGCACGCCACTAGGGGCTCCTGGCCTTACTGCTAGGAGCAAGAAGCTACTAGTAGCAAAAGGCATCGCTACCAGTAGCGTCCTTGCTCCTATAGCAGTCAGGCCAGGAGGCCCTAGTAGCGTCCTTGCTCCTAGCAGTAAGGCCAAGAGCCCCTAGTAGCGTGCTCCTAGTAGCGATGCCAGGAGCCCCTGCTTTTTGCGTGAGCTGCTCAGGTCCAGCAAAGAGAGAGTGAGTTGGAGCTGACAGGGTGCGCCCTTGAAGACTCCTTGCGTGCCCGACCCCTCCCGTTTAGTATTGTATACAGTATATTATATTAGTGTGTTACGGTGTGTTGACGTACAGTAGAGCTAATTCCTCAGCCATCACATCTCTTGGTGTAGGACATGTGAGGAGTTTCGAGCAGTGCTGTAATTAGGTCACTAGGCCAGGGTACTTACTGGGTCCAAGGCGTGCGAACATGTATTCAAATAATTTAAAAGATACTTGCAGAATCTGTCCTGACAATTCATGGTGCGCTGCTCACCTACTGTTTCTTGGAGGTACCTTAGAGGCTTCGTTCGACCAAGAGGTAGGTGCTGGCATTCAGCATGTGCATCTACAAATCCGGCCGCAGCTAAGCCAGAAGCCTTTCAATCATTCGACAGGAGGATTTGTGGCAGAGGCAGGCGCCGCAGATATCGCCACCTCGGAAAATCACAGAAGAAAAGAGATGAAAAGGGGCCTTGCCTTCCTTTTAGGATTATTGTTCTTAAATATTGCTTCATTATGTTTTATACGAATAAAATAGACAACTGTGAAGACAGACAACTTGTCTTCGACAAGTGAAACACTTTGTCTTCATGCCTTGGAGGATTCTGTAGATCTTCGAGACCTGCCAATTGAACTCGCACGGGCCACTGTGAGTCCATGGACTTAGACTGGGCCGAGTTAGGAAATGAGGGTCGTTTTGATGTGTATTGTCATGTATTGTCTATTATTTCATGGCAAGAACGCTCCATGTTGTAGAAGATGCACCACATGCCGCTTATAGACTTGGCAAGTTATGTCTACTCAGCTCTTGAATCAGGTTGCATATTGAAGGATGCCTTTATCGGCAATGTGAACCTGAAGAGCTGCAGCAAATTCACTGGAAGGCGGCCACTGAGCCCTTTAGCAAATTGCAAACTATGGCAAGTCATCATTCGGATATATACCCCAAAAAACATGTTGAAATCTTGTCGTGTAGTTTTATGTACACACTGATTTGCAGGTCATTTCACGGTGCTGTGGAGCATGAAGTGCACAGTAACGTGCAGGTGAGAAGTCCTATGATGCACAATGATCATCAATGAACGTTCAAACGATCGCGTTTTTGCAGGGCCTGGTGGAGGAGCTACGTCTTGTAAGGCCCAGAGCAACGATGCAGCAAGAAATTCATCACAGCACATAGCACATGAGTCCAAGAAAGTGGTTAACACGATCAACGTGGACATGTTTCACTTATAAAGTTCTTCTTTGAAGGCCCCCTACACGGTGATCGAGATCGGAGAGGGTGTGAGTAGCAACTTGCTGCTGCTGCACTTGACATGTCTTAGGAAGCTGAGAAAAGACTGCACAGGCTGCGAACTGCTCGCCATCTCTCTTGCTATCGTTTCCAACTGTCCACGCACTAAATCAACGCGTGTCTCAGAACATGCAGGCCTCCCATGGCAGTTTATGGAGTACCTGGTGAGGCTTGGCCAAGTGCCGAGTAGCCACTGCGCGTGCATCGATGATTCAATGGTCAATGGTTCAGGCGGATTTGGTGAAGCGGATTTGCGATATGCTGTCCTTTAAGCCGCTTGAGGAGAGAGCCTTAGCTGGTAATGCGTGAAGGTCGCTTCTTTCTTTAGAGCTGAGGAGGAAAGGCCTGATTTGGTTGGGAGCGCTTCAAATCATGTGGGCATTCAGGTCAACAACTTGTCCTCAAAGTTTGCACATGTCTTCAACCAGGACTGCACAATTCTTTGCCTGGACAAGATCAAACGGTTTGACGACTTTGTGAGGTGGTGAGGAACCACGAAGAAACGCCTTTTGTGGCTGACAAGAAGAATGACGGCAGCTTCAAAAAGTGTGATCCTTACAGCACAATCCATTATGATTCCGTTCTACATATATTTGCTTGAATATAAATATATATATATATAGCTTTTGCCTTCATTGGGGGACGTTTCAGGTGGCTGCAGGCATGTGGGTTTGAGGCAAGCAACATCTCAAAGCAAACAAATACTGCTGTGATATTTGACGAATGGCTGTGGAGACAGATGAAGCACAGGTTGGTCCTCTCTTCGAGCGAAACAAATCGCTGGTATACTTGCCTGTGTCCAATTCTTGGAGAATGACTTTGAATAACACTTCAGTCTTGACCCCTTGATTAATGCCTTTCGGGCCCATGGAAAGAGACGATTGAAAGTCACACGGAAGCTGCATGTCCAAGGCGAGCAAAGCCTTTGGAGCGTGCCAAAGGAATCAACCAGGCACAGCTGAGTCGAAAATGTGCCTTTAAGAGCAAAGGTGGAGGATATTTTGTGTCCTGCAGATGCCTTCAGCCTTCTGCATGTTATCCCTTTTGAGAGCGTATTGAAGTGAGCATAGGGAGCTCACATTTGCACGCAGGAGCGCCGCTATGTGTATCGAGGAAAGCATGGAAACAGAGGTGTCGGTGTAGGCCTTCAATTCGCTGATGCAAAGCCATTGAGTGATACTGAAAGCAAGATGTACAATCAAAGACTACTGAGAAGAACAACATGAAGTAATCGGGCATGCTTTGAACCTGATCAGGTGCAAAGATTGCCGAAGAGCTGGCGTCTACTTTGGTGGAAGAGGACTCCAGAACGATTGGTGACAAGTTAGCCTCAGATATGGCAGACCATGTGCATGTTTGCTGCTCCATGGGGTACTTTTTGCCATGTTAGATTTGGGTTGCCCAGGAATGCAGGATCCGAAAGGAGAGGCTGGTCATGTAAATATCAGTGTTGTTTTGAAACTAATAGTCACCCGACCCAATCACACCCTTGGCTTGCAATGGCCTTGTTGCCACAAGAATGTAACACTCATTTTACATGATGCGTCATGATATTATGTCAAAGTGCAGGTGGGAGGTGAAGCAGACTGAGATGACTGATACCAAGAACAAGGATCCAGATCAGATCCTGCAGGTTCGACTTCATTGCGTTCAAGCGATGTCACAACATCCTCTCTTTTCTTGCACTTGCCTTTCCGTCCGATGAGGTAATGACAGTTGTTTCAGTTTGCCTCAGTCCATTTCTTCTCAATGTTCTTTTTAGCATATGGCATAAACATTTTTCTGTTTGCCCAACTGCTGTGGCCTTGCTCCATGCCACCTTAGATGTCGAGGGCCGTCCGGCTAATCTGAAAAAGATGTTTCTTTTTTTGTTGCAAGCGTGAAAGACTTGCCCCAATGTCACGGACAACGGCACTTGCAAGAGTAGCAAATTGAGTTGCGAGAGCAACAGCGGCCTCTCGCATTCCCCACCCTTCCTACTTAGCTATGCGTTTTTATGATGCTGATGATGTATTGAGTGGATTGCGCATCACCAGCATCAAGTAAACTAATACTACTCGAGTTGGTGTTGACTCATTTCATTGCATTGTTCAGCTGAACGTTTAGCTGAAAGCAAGAATGCCAAACTGCTTCCAGCCGTAGGCCTTGAGGTCCAAAGCTGCGACAATGCACCCTCCGTTCAGAAGTTGCAATGTTTCTGTTTGTTTGTGTTCATTTATGATATTAAATATGAGTCGCTTGCAAAATTATCGCCAATGGCCTTTTATACAGGACCATGATTTGGGGTGTTTGCGGAAAATGATACGGGACGTTCAAGGAAGCGATGCTCCTATTGTCCCTATTGTCAAAGGCAATGTGTGCTTGGACAGCAAGCAAGCCTGAGACGGTTCAGCTTGTGGGACTTGCAACTGATCAACTTGCAAGGGAAGCAGGACAAGTGATTTTGCTGATAATAATTATGTACATCTAAACGAGGAATTTGGCTGAGCCGTGGTTTGTCAGGCGTGCTCGATGGAACAGCCAGGGCCAAGCTCTAAGATGGTGGATGTTGTGCAGAGAGAGCAGCGCGGATTTGCTGCTCTTGTTGTCATATAATATATGCTTAGGCCTCAGGACTGGACCAGACATAAGACATGTGATTCCTTTGGGTTAGAAAAACCTTGTGGTGTTTTTGAGGCATGTTGAGCCGGAACCGGAGGATTGCCAGCTTCAAGTCATTGAACAACATTGGAATGAGCCAGCAATAGAGCTTGAAGGACGTGGCGAAGGAGCACGAGGATCAGGAGAAGGATGACTGTGACGAAGAGCAATCCGAGCAAACACTTTCAGATGAGGAGCTGGGTTAGACAGATCAGATGAGACTGGATGAGAGAATGATGTAAAGAAAGTGCAAAACAGGTCTGGGACCCCTTCCATGTTTCTTCTCTTTATATAATTGTGACCAGAGAAAGTTGCAGGACAAAGACTTGGACCTTGATTCATCAGCTGCCTGGGTGGAGGTGGGCCGATTCTTTATTTTTGCTGCCTTGGTTGGGTTGCGGTGCCTATTTGAAGAGCACGGAAGGTGCATCCAGCATTTGCTGCGATTGAAGAGGCACCTCGTCACCTCATCGTATCTTTGCTGGTTGTGAGTTGCATTGGAATCTCTCCAGCAAGTTCCATATACTGTAGGCAGTGCAGCGCATAAGTCTCATGTCGTCAAATCTCGCTGTCGAGTCCTGTCCCTTGCTGATGTAAATGAGCTTTTGCAACAGCATTTTCGCAAGTGTCAATCGTTCCTGCCTGGCCTAGTGGAATGCTAAGTCAAGCTCGTCCTTTCTACCTGTTCGTTGTTGTAGCAAAACAAGTGCACGCATATTCCTCGCAGGTTCACAAAAGTGCAAAATCCAGCTGCGCAAGGGTGGTATAAGCATGTAGTTTCCCCACATGCCATGTAAGAAAAACTGCAGAGTGTGTCAGAAAAACGTAAGAGCAGTGTAAGGATCCTCTTACGGCGTAGGAATCTATTGATTGAGCACTTCGGCAAAGCTCAATTTGGAAAGCTAGATTAGATGGATCATGATGTCGGTGCATGTGACTAGGTTGTCAATACCATTTCCAGAAAAGCTATCTCCGATTCAAAACTGTTGCAGGAGCTGGACGACTTCATCGTGGTTCCAGAAATTGATTGCGCGTGGGAGGAGGTGATGGGACATCGATGCATTTGAAATGAAACGGAGTTGCTCCACTCTTCAATTCAGGTTGCGGTGATGGATGGTCAGGCGTAGAGTCTCTCACAATTGTCTTCATTTTTTTGGTTTGCTATAGTCGCTATAGTTTTGTGTGTCGTTCTTGTTTCCGTCCGTACAAAGCCAGTTTCAACCTGATTCTTTGACACATGTGCTACAGTGGATACTTATGCAGCATGCAGCTTACAGATCGATAGATGCATTGATGAAATGAACAAGGGCAAGTGCATGGCACGGCTGCGAAGACTTGCTAATTGTTCCAATGGAGAAAGCTAATTGCCCTGGCAAATGTTCACATTGAATGGAAGCAAACTTGTACCAAAGGTTCCAGGGTAGGTTTGCATATTGAGTTTGTACAAGGCGCATGCGCACAGTGACAGCTTTTGACACCTACAGCAGCAGTCTTTGGACATGATGCAAAAAATGCACCCCCTGTACGAAGGGGAAGAGCCATGAACTTTCCCGTGCCATGGCGATGTCTCCTCCCTCATGAGGTACCGGTGGACCCTCGATTCCTTTCTGAAGCAAGAGCCGTGTTCCGTGGAAAGGCGGTTGACTTTGTCACCTACAACAATCATGAGATCCTCACGGATTTGCCTTTTCCTCAGATCAAGCATGTTCAATCAGTATCAATTTATCTCATTTTGTCTCCACAAAATCCAGTAGCATGCAAAGTGTGCCCGTGAAGGGCCCAGCAAGAAAGGACAGCATGTTTCAGCTGAACTCCACCGACTCCAGGTCAAACAAGACTGGTGCCATGATTGATGTCTCTGGTGATCGCGACACGCCAAAACGACTCAGTGACCGAATCATTACCATCAGCGGACAGGCGAGAAGTATCGCGAAGCGGAATAAAACCGAAATAAATGGAATATATAAATGCTTGGCACCTGTGGAATTTGTATTGCAGACGTTGTTTGGTTATTTATTTGCAGTGCAAGTGGCAGGCGAATCAGAAAGAAGGTGCCTGTTTGGGGATCGCCTGGTCCCAAGCCTTCACTGTTGAGGTATTCAAGAGAGGAGATAGTCGCTAGCCGCTAGCCTAATCATGTCTAGTCTATTTCAATTTTGTTGATGCAAGGTGGAGAAGCTACGCAAGCTGCAGGCCTTGTACATCCTTGTCTTGTTTGTTTGCTTTGTTGCCGTGGAGTCAAAGCTACGACCTCAGGATCTTTTGGACAGCGAAGTGGGCTTCTTTGTCATCATCGTTCCCGCAACGGCCATTCCAGTGATTGCCATATGCTCAACAGATGTGTTCTTTCACAGCCCTCACGCGATGTCCAGTCAATCGATGGCCCAAGGTTGGGATCAAAGGTGCAACGATTGCGGAGGTCGCTGCCGTGGTTTTTCCTCGTTGAGACTCATTCGATCTTTGTGCGTGGAATGCTTTATGCATTGGAGGTGCTTGCAGGGACGGGAGTTGAGGTCAGCATTGGTAAGGAAAATGTTGATCACTCAGGTTTGCAACAAGTCAATTTGGCTTGATAATCAATTTCACACAAATGATCTGTAACAGCAACAGTGGTTGCCGGTCCCCATATGTTGTGAGGTGATGGGGATGCCGGACACTCCAATAGGCACCGCGTTGGTACTTCTTGGTGGATTATATTCCTTTCGGAGCAATGCTCAAAATGTGCTGAGTCTACTGATGGATTGTGCAGGCTTGGAGGGCACGGCTTCACAGGCTGACACTGTAGCAGATGCACACAACCGGTTGTACCTTGTCGAACATGTTACAGAGTACTGTATATAATTAGCGGGGCATCATTGGCAGGTTACCACTGCAGTTGCCAACATCCACAAAGTAATCCAGGACGACGCCATTTTTCATGGAGCTATTTTCTGCTTAGAGCTGGAGTGCAAAGCGCAGTCTGGGATCTTTTCAAGGACATGGCAGACCGTGGAAGGCTCCTTCCTGCAGATTTCAAGTATCGTCCAGACAAGGTGAGTTCTACAGAAAGCTCTGTGTATATAGATGTCCTTACTGTCCTTCGAACAAGTAAATGTTGCTTTGCAAAGAACATGTTTGCCAAGTTGCTTGAAGCAAGAAACATCTGATGTCGACCTCGTTGGGAGGCAGCAGCCCAACTGGCTGCCGGAGCAGGTGCACATCTGCCGGAGGTGCACTTGCCGCATCTGGGCGGCAATCGATCCACGGCAGATTTCTGTCGCTTCGTGAAGCGGGTGAAGCGGGGAGCCAAGACACATCCAAGGCCAGCAGATCATGACCTCTTCTATGGCATGGACCCCACGCAGAACTTTAGAACAAAGGCCTTAAGCTGTTGCAAAGTCGATGTATCCTTTGAATGAAGCCAATGGATGAGCAGTAAATGATATGAAACTACTAGAAACTAGAAACTAAATATATATTTTGTTTATATAAAAGATAAGTTATATCAATGAGTAGATGATCAGAATATGTCCTCAGGCCAAGATTGTCGTTGACACTGGCCTGGCAGGTGAGAAGCGTTTGTGAAAGGATTGTTCAACTTGTGAAAGGTTTGTGAACCCTGTGCATCTTTGCATGGTGCAGCTGAAAGTGATCAAGCTGTAGTTGCAATCTTGAAGCACTGAGAGTAGCTTCGACATGCATGAATGCGAGCGGTATCGAGATCAAAAAGGCTGATGGGGTCTACCGAACGCCATTGCTGAAGAATGTCATTCCCGAGCCTGAACCGGCAGGGGCACCACAAGCTGCCAGCAGTGCGCTGGCAGTTGCTCATTGGGATGGTCGCTTGAACTGCCGTTTGGCTATTGACATAGGCCGAACCAAAGAATTGGTGGGATGTGTCTGGGTCATTTGGATTAGTTTCGATGTTGACTACTTGAAGGACACATGTGTTTTGAACAGTCGTCTTGAATGTTTTTGAATTGTTTGTTGATTATTAGTTATCGTATTGCAGACTATTGCAGTTATTATTGTGCTTTCATGTGAGCGAGCAACCGCCAAAAGCATAGGCCTCCTTTAAAGATCAAAAGCGATAAAGTTGTTGTTCATATCCTCTTTGTTACCCATCAGCAGTTGTGGCAGATGCTCCTGTGATTGCTATGTTGATGGACGGGCTGTTGGTGCTATTCATGGGGTGCGATTGCACGTGCGATTGCACTTGCCCTGACTCGCCGTGATTGTGCTTACTACTAGGAACAAGAAGCTACTAGTAACATGGTCGCTATTAGCAAACATTGTTCCTGATGCAGCCAGGAGCCCCTAGTAGCGTCCTTGCTCCTAGTAGTGATGTCAGGAGCCCCTAGTAGCGTGCTCCTAGTAGCGATGCCAGATTTATATGATTTTAGATATTACTGTAGTTCAGGGCGATACTATAAGAGTTGTGGTGAGTATTTGTCACCTTCACCGTACAGTAGTGTGTTCGAATATGGGGCCATTTGGTAACAGTCGTGGTGGCTCTTTCTTGTTGCTTTTCCTCATCATTTGTCATCTCCTTGTGGTTGTCCTTCTTGTGGCTGATGTTGGTGCTAGTGGTGCTGGTGGTTGGTATAGTATAGAATGGGTATCAGTGAGAGCCTTTGCAAATGCATTCGATGCTCTCTTCGCACTATCTAACTCACTGAGTCCAACATTCGGATGGACATATCCCTGCCAGGTGGAACATTTACCGATGCTGTTCTGGAGGATGGCGAGGAGACGTGCCAAAGATATCCGGTGAAAGTCCTCACAACTGCACAAGATCCAGCAAAAGGATTGGTTGATGCAGCATTAAGGGCTTTGCAAGCTGGAGGGCGAGACCCAAAGCAGGTTAGACTAATACTGCATGGAACAACTCTTGCAACAAATGCTGTACTTGAGAGACAAGGAGCGAAATCCGCTCTGATCACGACCAAAGGCTTTCGAGACCTTTTGACCATCGGATTCGGAGGAAGGCATGATAGGTACAATCTGAAAGCCAGAAAAAGTCCTCCTCTTATTGCCAGGCACCTTTGTTTTGAAGTGACTCAGCGCCATTTGCCGGATGGGACTGAGTTAACACCCTTGGATGAGGCTGAGTTAGAAGGCCTTGTTCCAAAGCTGAAAGAGCACGGAGTGGAAAGCATCGCGATATGTTTCTTGCACAGCTATGCAAATGATATGCACGAAGAGAGGGCCATGGCAGTGCTGAGACCCTTGCTTCCAGGTGTGTGGTTTTGTACATCAAGCAGCGTGAGTCCAGAGATTCGAGAGTTTGAACGCTTTAGTACTGCAGCTGCCAATGCCTACGTCCAACCGTTGATGTCGCGTTATTTAAAAGATGCCCAGCGGTCCTTGGTCGAGCATGGATTCACCTGTCCCTTGCTCTTGATGACTTCCGGAGGTGGCAAGTTGTCGACATTTGTTTTGAAGCTGCTTCTAGAAAAGCATGTTTTAGATTCGTTTCATCTACCAGGTGCCACACTTTGCATGCATGTTGAAAACTTTGAAAGGTGGACTGATGGACGCTGACACCGCTTCTATGTTCCCTGTTCGTCTAATTGAATCTGGTCCTGCTGGTGGTGCTATCTTGGCAGAGAACGTTGCTAGAGAAGCCAAGGCAAGCAATGTGATATCCCTGGACATGGGAGGCACTACAGCCAAACTTTGTATGGTGTCCAGGGGTCGAGCAGGAATCACTCGTAACTTTGAAGTGGATCGTGCCGAAAACTTCATGAAGCATTCCGGCTTGCCTCTCCAAATTCCTTGCATAGATTTGGTGGAGATCAGTGGAGGTGGTGGAAGCCTCGCATCTGTCGACGCAGTTGGGAATCCACGAGTTGGGCCTCAATCGGCCAAGTCCACTCCTGGACCTGCATGCTATGGTCGTGGTGGTACGCTGCCAACGGCGCCATGGCTTCATTGTAGGATTGGCCAAATCCCATCCAAAACATTTACTGTAAAGTACCAGAAGGAAAAAGATGTGGACAAACAGATCGTACAGTAAGTCCCTGTTCAAGCGGGGCCGCTCGCTTTTCATAGTTGTTCTTTGTTTTTTCTGCTGTTGAAACGAGTCAAATTGCTGCATTGTATGCACTGAACTTGTGCAAATGATTCCCTGCAGTATCTTAAAATGTCTCTCAGTTGCTATAGGTCTTGTTATACCACTTCCCATTGTGAACATGACTCTGGGATACTCAGGGTAGGTTTGGGTGAGCTGGCCTACGGGAGACACCTCCTCGCGGTGGCCAGCGGAGGGGCTAGGCTGCAAGTAGGGTTTCACGTAGCCAGCTGAAGCAACGACCCGGATGCGGCAAAATTGATTGCTGCACACAAGCAATACTCAGCTTCTACATCCAGGCTCCACCAACCCCACGCCCAAGGTGGCGTCCTCATAGATAGAGGAACACAGGAAGGAGGATCAATCTAGGAGGACGGGGACTCCCGCTTTTGCGGTGCGCCCCAGCGAGATTTCCGAACCGGATCATGCACCTGAGTCCTGTCGTGTGTCTAAGGGTGTTGGGGGCTGGATGGTTTTCCCTGAAAGTCCCCGCCCGGCGACACGGGGCCACCGCGCCGGACCGTTGGAAGGGTGGGCGGTCGGGCGAAGAATCTGGATCCATACACATTGGTTTGGCGACTGACTCACGCGTCAGTGACACCCCAGCGGCTCCATCCTACCACACAACATGTGTTTTTTAGGTTCAAGGACTTTCCACTTGATCGGTATTTGTCGACAGGGATGAAACGGAAGACATGGTTCCGCAAACGCAGCTCTCGCAGGTTAGCATCGTCGCTGCCAAACATGTAACAACCTTCTAGGTTCCGTACAAGCTCGAAAAAACCACGAAGTTCGCTGCCGCGTTTGAGGCACTTCCGGTTTAGGCTTCCATTTTTTGTTTCTCCTTCAAGCACCCGCCCCCCAGCATCCCGGGCACGACCCGGTAGTAGTGTTCGGAACAAGTTCCGTTCACACGCTCGGGGGGGCGCGCCTGGGCATGTCCTAGGCAAGACGTGATCTCAAATCAGACATCAGGGCCTCATTCGTCCTCCCCTGTTTCTCTCGGTTTCTTCCTGGTTACCCTTTTTTGGGCAACGCCCACTTCAACAGAGATCATCTCCATGTTTCCGCATACTTTGGCTGACAGCACAGACCACAGTCGTGGTGACCCCACCCGCCGAAATGGCGGCGGCAGAGAGAACCCGAAAAATACAGAGTTTAGAGCGCCGCATCGACGCCATTGAAAAGGAACAAGAGAAGCAAGGAACAGAAATCACATCGTTGAAACGCAGACAGGACAGGATCGAGAAAGCTACGCTTCTAGTCATCGAGCATAGCAGTCAAGTTGAGACATTGTATGCGACTGCGACGCAGTCTCGCCAATTCAGCACATTAGCAAAAGACGCCAGCAAGGCTATCCTGCAGGAATTGAGTGAACTCACCAAACTTCCGTTCCCCCTGCCCCATCAATTGCCGGCGGACTGGCGCCAATTAAATGAAGAGACCAAGACCATACCGCTGGACGTCATTGGCAATTGGTGGCTATTGGTAGGGACGCTAGAAACGGCTGTGCGATTCATTTTCCCGAATCGGTCACGGAACACCAGGGACCCCCACACGGGACAGTGGAATAGGACACCCAAACATTTCGTTGCTCGCCTGACCTTCGGAGAAAACGCACTTCGCATCCAAAATTGTTTGCAGGGTTCTCTTGGACAGTTTATCAATCGACTGGTCAAAACACGTCGAGAGGCCGGACACACCGAGATCGCGAATCTTTTCGTGAGCAAAACCCCCGAGGAATTGGAACGCAAATGAGGAAAAGGAAACAAAGGTGAGGGTCAAGGCAAAGACGGAAAGGGTCGAGGGCGGGGCCGCGGACGCGGCCAGAACGACCAATAGAACACGGTCGCGTTTCACCCGCTGGTATCACCTACCTTGACTGTCCTAGGTTAGACTGAATAGGCCTAGACACTTGTACTCCTGATGGTATGGCTAGTGAACGGAACAGATGCACCCACTCCTGCCTGTTGTCCATTTGGTTTTTCCCCTCTTACTAGTGCAATCATGTCACCTTGGAATTTCATGCATGATTCCCTGTGGGCCGCCATGTGCCATGGCTTAAGTCCTGACCACGAGTTGTTTCCCTACCTTGGAAGATGGAAGGTGGGCTGCAAGCGCTTGTGCCTTGAGAGACTATCACCGAGATTCGTCGGGATAGGCAGCTATGTAAACACCTCTTCGTCGTCGTCGTCGTCGTCGTAGGTTTGGGTGAGGGGTTGGGCATGGTTGGGCTCTAGGTCAGGTCGCGCGCCCCATTGTCTCTGACTTTGCACAGCCAAGCCAACAAAAGACCGAAACCATGCTAGAACACACCACTTCAAGTTGTGTTTTCAACTGTTTGGGGGGCTGAAATTTGATGCTCTTAACCTTGATGGGCAATGCGAAAAGGATGACTCAGAGTGCTGGGAATAGGCTGTGCCTGTGCGCGGTCCTCTCAACAGAACCCCTCAACTACAATTGTTGGGTTGATTCCACTGAACAACCATACTCTGACAGCTTCTGTAATTTGCCTCACAATGAAGAATGAAGGTGATATTCTGGCAACAGAGCTGAAGTTGAAATAATGTCTGGATTGTGTTGCTTGGGATTTTCAGGCGTTGTTCAGTACTTCAAAGTTTGCAGAACACGACTACTTGCACATGGTTCAGGCTTGTTTGCACAGGATTTCAGTGTTCTTTTCTGTATGTTCAAGTTGTTCAAAAGTTCAGACATCCAATGTCTATCTACCTCTTTGGACCTGGGCACTTCACATCACTTCACTTAGGTGACTGATGCCGATTTAATTCTGGGCCGTCTTGAAGCGGGGTCTCTTGCTCGTGGCGAAGTGGATCTTGACCTGAGCAAAGCTAAAGCTGCTGTGGGGAAAATTGCAGAGCAGCTGGAGGTCTCGACCGAAGTGGCTGCACATTCGATAGCCGAAGCTGTCGAAGATTCATTGGCTATAGCAGCTCAAGCACATGCTGCGGAGCATGGCTTGGATTTGCCAAAGCATGTCCTGGTCGCATTCGGTGGTGCAGCCCCCTTACGAGCTACTTACCTGGCTGAAAGACTTGGAATAGAGACGGTGTTGGTTCCTCCTGATGCAAGTGTTGGTAGTGCCATGGGATTTTTTTCTGCTCCCTTGGCCTTTGAGGCCTTGGAAAGCTGTAGAATGAAGTTGACAGATTTCAATCATGAAAAAATCAATGCGATTTTTCGACAACTTTGGCATAAGACGGTTGCAGTAGTTGCTGCCGGGGCAGCTCGTTGGAAGCCCGGCCGTCCACCGAAAGAGCGACGCCGTGCATACATGCGGTATGTTGGGCAAGGCCACGAAGTTTGTGTTGATTTGCCAAATCGGGACTTGGAACCGGAAGATACAAAGGCCTTGCTCACAGAATTTGAGTTGGTGTACACCCAACTGGGCCATATTGTACTTGAGGAAGAGGCCGAGTTTCGAGCTTTTGCCTTGGAGGTTGTTGCAGATGCAGATCCATTGGCATGGCCGCAGGAGCGTCTTCGAACCAAGCAGAATTTGTCCAGCAAGTCAATACTGCATTTTCCATCTAGAGAAGGTAGTTCGGCACAGGCCTATGGCAAGAGGTTGATTTATGATGGCCAAGAAGTTGAATACCTCGTGTATTCACGTTCTGGTCTGCAGGTTGGAGAGCTCGTTCACGGCCCTGCTGTCATTACTGAAGCATATACGACAACGATCGTGTCCGAATCCTTTGACTGCTGGCTTTTAGAAAATGGTTTCTTACAGCTTCAAGCACGTGATGCAAAACGAGAGAATATCCAGCATCATGCAAGTTTGCGTCCTCAGAAGTTGCTCGGCTTTAGCAAGGAAGGATGGGAGCAAGGCCAGAGGGACACCATGTCACACATGGCACATCGTTTAGCCTGGACAAGGCTTTTGACCATCGTTGAGGAGCAGGCGCAAGCTGTATTGAAGGCAGCATTTGCTCCACTTCTCAGAGAATCTCGAGCCGTTCTTTGTGCTGTCTTCAATGGTGAAGACCTCATTGCACAAAGCGAGATGTCTTCCCCAAGCCTGGCAGCCGTCCTGCTCCACAACATCGACATGTGTGTGCGTGAAGGAGCTCTGCAAAGGTTGTCGCCCGATGAATGCATAGTTCGAATCAATCCAGGTTCAATGCCGAACCATTCTGACCTGGTGGTTGTGACTCCAGTCTTTGAGCCTCCGGTCTTTTCAAGACCTTCGGGTCTCATTGCATCTGCTGCTCACACAGGACAGGCACTGGTTTCATCATGTGTCATCAAGAGGGAAAATGCGTGCAAACTTGGAACAAGTGCAAAAGATGTGGTTGCACTTGTTGCCGCCAATGAACTGGGCCATCAACGACTAACGGCATTATTGGCTGAGCGTGGAGTAACCTTGTCCAACTTGGGTACTTACATTTGCTCTGAGTCGCGACAGGCGGTGCAAAGGAATCTGCGACGAATTCCGCCAGGCGTTGTTGCGGAACAGAAGAGGTCCATCAGAATTCAAGAAATACCTACAAATACCATTCATAGAGTTGAGCTTGGTGCCCAGGTCCAGGTCGATGATACTTGCTTGGACGTGAAATTGCTTGTCGATTGTCCAGTAGATAGCTCTGATTCTGAACCTTTCAGAGGATCTCCAGCTTTTATGTGCACATCCTTCTCCAAGTATGCATGCATTGCGGCTCTTGGGCAGGATGTTCCTGTAAACAAAGGTTCACTGAGTGTATTTCGCATTGGCACTCCATCAAACACTATACTAGATGCTAGTCCAGAGGGCAACAATGCTGGCAAGACCTCACAGGTGGCTGAATTTTTGCCTGATCTGATTCTTCATTGTATGTCATCCTTTGGGCTGTTTTTGAGGTCTGCTGATAGTGCCTCATTTCTACCCAGTTTGCGCTGGACGTGTGGTGAAGCGTCGGGACTTCATTTCGAGGGTGGTGGAATGGGGGCCCAGTCGGATCGTGATGGATTAAGCTCCACAATCTTCCCTTGCGGCTTTCAGTCCATTCCTTTGGAGATTGCAGAAATGTCAGATGTATTCTTGTTCAACTGCAAAGAGCTAATCACAGACTCAGGAGGGGCAGGGCGCTTCCGAGGAGGTTTGGGTGTTAGATGGGAGCTCATAGCACGACAGAAGACCCATGCAGCTGCGATTCAGGGAAGTGACCCCAGTGGTCCGCTTGGAAGAGAGGGCGGATGTGCTGGCAGACCTTTCTTCATGCAAATCAAGCGGAAACAGGCACGAACAGATGGAACAGATCGAGATTCTGAGTGCGAAAAAGGAGACACGGAGCTCGGATGTCCGCCAATGTCTCCAGGAGACGTGCTTTTGCTAGAGACACCTGGAGGGGGTGGCTACGGACCACCTGCCAAGCGTTCTCGTGAGTCTCTTTTGCATGACTTAGAGGATGGTTACATCTCTGCAGCTGCTGTCCAAACTTACGAGTCAAAAGAAGAGCTCCAGGTCTTTTTTTGGAATGTATACAGTTATTATTGTATATTAGTATTGTTATATATATATAGTGTTTTATTATTATATTATAATGTGGCGTCTGTCAGTTGCAAGCTAGTGGCGTTGGTCTTTTCATGATTTGTCAACTGACATACTGGAAGAAGTGGTGAACCGTGAACTGCAAATAAGCGTGCTGGGTGCGTTTGCACCTGGATTGATTTATCATGACCGAGCAGAAGATTTGACATGATTTAATTTTAACTATTATATATACATTGTAATATGTTGAAGCTGACTCGCGCATTCTCGAATTCTATCGCAACCTTTGAAGCAAGTGAGCTGTGTTTGCAGGATGGCTGATTGGCAAAGGTGGCCGCACCATCCGCGAGATGCAGGAGAATAGTGGCGCCTTTCTGCATGTCATCCGGGAGGACTTGGAACTCAGTCGTTGAATGCATTGTCAAAATCGGTTGAACATTCAGGCATGCGTCACGTCTTCTATTTGTGGGAGGACGAGCCAACTCCTTTGTTGTCACCCGGGGAACGGCTCATTGAGGTATGTGGCAGGGTGCTCATTTCATTGTTAGCAGTCACCGGACAACGTACATAAGATGAGCAAAAGTTAAGGACGCCTGGAGCGCAAGCTCGAAGGAATCCAGGCCAGCGAGTCTTGTGGCAGAGGATGGCAAAGGTGTTGAAGTTTTCTCTCGACTGGTGCTGCTCCGCCTCAACTGGCGTCAAAGGTGGTGCTCCGTACCGCTGACAGCATGCCTGGAAATGCACCAAAAGATACTCGCATCATCGTTCCCGAAGTTGAGCCCTCGGACTTGAAGGAACCGTCTGGAACCATGTGGCCCCTCAGAACCAGTGCTTAGGTACTTGCAGATCCTCTCATCATGGACCAGGTGCATGAAAAGTCCACAGTTAGACTTCACGACTTGCATGCTACCAACAAGAACGAAAACGCACCCGACAGGTTGCTTCCGCCTACAACAGCTGCGTGGTGGAGAGACTACCAGGTGCAGCTGATGTGTGGCTCTCAGCATTCAGTTTCCACCCAAAGCTGGGAAGCTTGGTCAATTGCAGGGTGAGGCAATGCTGCTGGTAGCTGGGTCTATCAGCTCACGGATCCAGGCAGTGCAGGAGTCTAAAGCTTTGAAGTCAGCAAGGTTGCAGTTCTTGTGGCCCCAACAAAGTCAATAACTGTTTTGGATATGTTGAGATCTTAATTTGCCAACACACAACGTACCAAACAATTGTGGGAGGGTCTATCTTGAATAGTCCCTACAAGACAGTTTCAGCCAGTCTGATCTAAGAACTACGTTCAGACTTTCAGAATCAAAACTCCGAAGGAATATCTTTCGTTGAACAGCAAAGGAAACAAGAAAAGGAATCCGTTTGTCGAATTCATTTTGGACTACTCCCTTGAAGAATGGATCTTGGTAATTAATATGTTGATTTGGGTACAAATTTGATCGGCGATTTGGATTGAAAGGGTCAGAGGGCCATGATGCGAAGTAGGACAGAACAGGAAGCAATAGGAAACAGAAACAGAAAGGAAATCATTAGGACCATTAGGAACCTCAATGATGGCCAGGACAGGGGAGAAGAAACGAATCCAAAAGAAGCAGCTCTGGAAAAAATAAAAATAAAAATATTGTTCCAAACCCATCCAACCCCCAATACAGTTCTGGGGTTTTGGACAATACTGTCAAACAACTTCACTGTTCTATCCCACTTGACTTTGCAAATCAACATCCAATCGTATCCGTAGACAAAATTGGGCCATGACCAGCATGTACAAACTTTGACCAAGCTTTAATGCACCAGCAGAAGAGCAGGCTTGGAGACACAGAATGGAGCAAATTCAAAAGTCTTGTGTATGGAAGACACACTTCTTGGACACCTCAAACCTTTTGAGTGCTGCTGCAACAAACGGTTCGGACAAATACAAACACCTTAGGACCATTCATACGATATGAGTTTCCCTTTGCTTCTAAATCGCTGTTCCGAAGTATATTTTCATATATGTTCTTGACGTTGTTGGACTTTTTGTTTTTTCCACGGTTCTTTTCCTGTGCAACTGGGTGCTTATGCGAACATCCGCCTCAAGTCTTGTGACTTGGTCGGGCAAGCCTCTTTGAGGCGACGGTTGAGGGTGACCTTGTCGTTGATGATCCGACTTCGTGCACCACATCGTGAACACTCAGCGGCGTTTCCAAGCCGCTGCATTGTGTGGGAGCCATGACCTTCCCACATCGAGGGCGGAAGTGGTCCGCTGTGGCACACCTGTCCAACGAACTCCTCAAAGGTTTGTTCATTCGACCTTGCTAAAATGTAGCTTTTGCAAAGGTCGCAGCGTAAGTACGCTTTGTCTAAGCGCAAGAAGTGCACTCCTGTCTAAGGCTTATCCTGGCTGTCGATGAGCTGCTTGATCACCTCCATTCTTGGAGTTCTGATGATCTTAGCCTGGACAGGGTTTTGGCACTCCGACCCCATGGCGGTCTTGATCTCCTGGATCATGCTTTTGGAGTGTATCCTGGCTTTGCATCTGCAGCAAATGGCTCCGGAGCGATGGACCTCCCACTGATGTCCACCTCTGTCAGGCTCCCGGAGCAAGGTGGCAATGAGCTCTTTCTTTTGCTGGAGCAGCGGCGTTTTGACCTCTTGAGTAATCTGGGTGGGCTTCCTCAAGAAGTGGTCCAGATCCCTGAGAACCCGATCAACTCTTTCTGCCACTATTGTGAGGATGTCAGCAAGGTCCTCGTCAGTGGCTTTCTGGTACGCCAGGAAGTCCTTGGGAGCCTCAGCCTTCGCTCTTTCTTGAGCTATGCGCTTGATGGATTTCTGGAGCTGTTTCCTTGTCTTCATGCCCTCCTCCTGTTGCAGGTGAGAGAGAAACAGGAGTGGTCTGACTTGGTCAAAGTCTTCAAACTCAAGTCCACTGTAAAGATCAGGGAATCGTTCCAAAGCCACATGAGGCGTCCATGCTTTCCAAACTTGCAGGTTTGAGATGCCGACATGAGCGGAGTCAAGAAGGTGCATGGCCAACTGTTTGAGCGCATAGAAGGTGGCTCTGGTCTTGGCGGCCTCTCCTGGACAGATGCCCGAAATGGAGGCGATGCACTCCTTGGTGGCAATCTCAAAGATCCCAATGGCAAAGATGTATTGTTGATGGCGAATGTCCGCACATGTGGGTGTCCATGATCGATGTGACATGGTTGCAGACTGTGCCACTTGCCAGTTCCTTCAAAGGTAGAAGGTCCTCCATGGCCCTCTCGAGCTGAGAAAGACCCCTGTTCCATATCTCAGGCTCAATGTTCTGGCTGATGCGGTCTTTCCATTCGTCAGGGATGTCTTTGACCCTGCCCTGCCAAAACGAGCATTCCCAAACAAGGTGAACTGTGGACAGTTCAACCAAAGGGGACATAGACCAGTGAAGCCATGCAATGTGCCTTGATGGAAGGCCCTCAGTGCACAGGCAAGACGATCACTGGTGGTGCGCTGAAGCTTGAGACTCATGGTCCAATCCAACGGCTGTTCCAGGTGTTCACATCCTCTATACTTCGTCAAGCGGATGAGACGTTGCCATTTGAACTCCTGTTGCAACAACATTGCAAGTTCTGGCCAAAGCTTGTCCAGAGAGAGGTTGCAATCCGGAATGGACCCGTAGCCAGCTCTATGCCATTGCTGTCCATTCTGAATGTCGAAGCCAAGGTCGAGCATATAGGCTTGCAACGCCTGCAAAGGGCCTGTGACAACCTGCCAGGGGTATTTGGCCTTCAGGAGAGGAGCAAGGGCCAAATTCCAGCTCGAGTTGAAAAGATGCCGCTTGCTGTCATCAAAGCTGTGGTACAACTTCCAAATGGTATGGACACGCTGAAGGATGATGACGTCGCCTGGGTCTGGATGCTTCTTGTTCATGTCAAACACGATGTCGACTGAACCCGATTTCTGGAGTTTGAGGGTTCTAGCCGCCATCGCACGAAGTTGGTGCCGTCGCTGTGGGGCGAGCCCGTTAGCCTGAGCCCCCCAGGTCATCACCGGATGGATTGCTCCTCGATGTAGCCTGTATCTCACGTTCGTGTGAAGCTTGAGTCTATGCATGATGCCAACTCTGGTTCTCCCTTTGGTGAACCGTTTCTTGACCTGTGGCACCCTCCGTCTCTTTGCAGCTGTGGCATCGATGCCAAGGTCACGGAAGACGTCATAGTGCTCAGGATCCCCAGGTTGTAGAAGGGCCTTCAAGGCGGTGGCCGTCTCTTTGGAGCTCGTGAGGAATCCAGTCTTCTCCGTGTTGAGCTTGAGACCAGCTTCAGTGAGGGCAGCATGGAGGCATCTGTATGACTGAAGTGCTTCTTGAGCCACATAGATGGGATCCCGGCCTCGGACATCAAAGGAGACATCGTCCACCCATGTCTGAAGAAGGGCAGCAGGATGCTGACGTTGGAGTGCAAGAAGTGGCTTGTAGAGCACCAGCTTGGCAATTGCAGGCGCTTGAGGACGGCCCTGCAAGATGCCTTTGCGGTAGTGCTGAGGCTCTGTGGCGATGCCTTCGGCTTGAATGACTCTGGGGCCGCGGTAGAGGTCGATGGCCATCTTCAGGTGAAGAAGAGGATATTCAAGCTCCCTTGCAGGCTGGATCAACTGGTCGAGGTCCACTGTGTCATAGAAGCAGCTGAGGTCTGCTAAGCAAGTGACAGTGTGAATGTCGTTGTGTTTGCAAAGCTCAGATTGAAGCATCCGTCCTACTGCTATCGAGAGACAGTCTTTTTTGGGTCTCGCATGATCCCAAGGCATAGTAGTGTCGAGTGAGAGCTGCCACTTGACGATGTCCTGCTTGCGGATCCGATTCCAAAGTCTGTAGAGACATGACCTCAAGGCAATTGGCCTTTCTACTTTGAGATTCTTTGGAATCATCACTATGTTCACCATCCTCATTTGCGTCGGGAGGAGAGCTTCTTGTTCCATTTGGTTGAACAGGTTTGCCAGCTGGGCTATCGCCTCAAAGGGAAGCTGCTTGAGGAAGTCGTAGGAGATACCATGGGTTGAAGAGTGCGTGCCTGTTCAATGGCATCTTCTCTCAACTCTCTGAAGCCCCTGATGTGACACGGTTCATCGACCGGCATCCAAATGGCACCCCACTGGCTCTGCCTGGTCTGAAGACGTTCTTGGAGAGGTAGATCTTGAAAGGGTCGTTGCCAAGGGATGTCTTTCTGTCGAAGACTTCGAAAGAGCCCTCGTAGACCCTTGGAATGTGCTTGAGCCAGCCAGGTTTTGTACTCTTCGGAGCTAGCCAAGGCAAGCCCAATGTGAGCTTGATGTTCCTGTGCCATGATGAGATCTTGTAGCCCCTGAGGATCTTGGTGAGTGTGTTCCACCCATTGAGAAAGGGAGGCCCTGAAGTTGTCCTGGTCCAGATCGTCAGAAGCATGCTCGGTGATGCTAGGAAGCATGTGGAGAAGGTCTTGCTTGACAGCTTCATTATCACTGTGGCGAAGCGCATTGATTCGAACGGACATTTTCTCCCAAAAAGCTGGTCTGCCTTTCTTCCACAGCTGAGCAGGGTGAGGTCCTGCTAAAGGGCCAGTATAGAAGTCAACTTGGAACCCTCTTCCTCTTCGAGGTTGTTGAATCTGCTGTGTGAGATAGCTTTCTGACTTGGCACTCCATCTGGCGAGATCAGTACCGAGACCCGTGATCTGGTAGTTGAGGATGCAGAAGGGTCCGTTGGGCTCTTGGAATTCGGACCAGCCATGAAGTGGATTGAGGGCCTTTCCAATGGGCGGGAAAGCTCGAATCTGCTGGACCGGAATGGCCAAATGCTCACTGTGGTACTTGAGATTGATGGCGCAATGAGGTTTCCACGGGACTTCCCAATTGATGTCCAGCGTCAGAGAGCCGTGAAGAGAGTTGGAAACGAGGAAATAGTCAATCTCGCTTCCTTGCAGAGTAGTGGGAGCGTTTGCAGCGAGAAGGTGGGCTTTGAATTTGCTTTGGATGACCATGGCAGCCAGCTCACTTGGTGGATTTTGCCAGTCACCACCAATGATGAAGGGGGCCTTGAGGATCTCGAGAAACCCAAAGAGGTTGCTCAAGATCTCTGCGTTCAAGGGTGACTGTAAGGTTTCTCCAGTGCGTAGATAGAGCTGAATGATGGCCATGTGAAGGCCTTCCCTTTGATATCCCACAGCCATCCAACCATTGCCCTCCTTGCAAAAGTGTTGCAGGCTGTGGAGATGATGATGAGGAGGATGCAAACATAGGAAACCCCCGGTGTTGCCTCCGCGTCCAGTAGCCTCGGCCGGAACACCCAGCGCTCTCCACCCTCTGGTGATGTAGTACTGCATGACTTCCTGCAGCTTGTTGTCATTCAGGTGTGTTTCCTGGAGAAAAAGGAGGTGATCAGCTTTGGACCATACCCAGTCCTGGACTTTCTTGCCGAAGGAAGTGACGTTGGCAAAGCTCATCAAAACATCTTCATAATGAGTTTTGGTCTTTTTGAGGGCCGGTTCGGGAATGAAGTGATCATCGGAGTCATCCAGCATGTGATCATGGACAAGCCAAACTTGGAGAACTTCAGATTCTTGTTGTGAAGTGAGCCCCCCAATCGGTTGTGGATATTGGTTGTCGTCAACACTCCACAAGGCATTATCCAGAGCGTGGATGGCGGTGAAGTGACCACTATGATGGGTCTCTCCATGATGCAGGATCATAGCCACAGCCCTGTAGCCTGCATTGGAAACAGAGATCCCATCGTTGGAGTAGGGCACACTAATGACCAACGGGACCTCCAGCTGACGGTGGTGCTTGGTCCAGATGTTCTCAAGGCATTGAAACCTCTGAATGTGGAAAATCAAGCAATCTGGGGCTCCATACAAGTATTGACCTTCTTCTTCGTTGGCCCACTGATTGACCAGATCGGTCAGGGAAATCGTGGTTTCACCCGGGGGGCAGATGAGGTTGATCGGAACCTGCTCCCTTTCTTCCAAGACTCCATTGGACTTGAGGTGGAAGAACTTGCCCCCAATGCTTGGGGGAGCCGCTGTGGCGTAGAGGTGACCTACAAAGGCACCTACATCTGCTTGCTGCTTGTGTTCAAAATGCGCCCATACATCCAAGAGCTCATGGATTTGTGTCAACAGGCACGGTCTAGATGAGGAGAGAAAAGCCCTGAAGGCTTGGTGTAGTCTGCCCCACGTGCGAGTAGGCTCAATGGTGAAGCAGCTCAACCGACTCCAGCACCTGAAGACTGAGTTACCAAAGCATAGGTTTCCATCATTGGCGGCTACGCTGGTGAGGTTTTGGGCGATCAGGCCTGAGTTGGCCTGAATGAGAGGAGGATCATCTTGAAGGCCTTGATGTTTGTACACCAGCCTCTCCATTCGTTGAAGGTCAGCCAAAAGTTGCTGACCGTGATCCTGAGTCGGAGCACGCAGGTACTCCTGGCATGATGCCTGGAGGTCCTGATGTCCAGTTTGAAGGAGCTGTTCATCAACAGGGCTGTGAATCTCTTGTTCACTATCCATGTCCTGGAGGATGAGGGCCAATGCTTGAAAACCTGAGGCCCCGTTGACAGCACCACCCTTGCGGGTAGGCTCAGAGGTAGAAGAACACGGTGCCTCTGTTTCCAGCACTGGGCCGCCTCCCCCTTTGACTTTGACCGTGGAGTGGGACCTCAAAGGTCCATATGGAAAGGTAGAAGCTCTGGCGGTGCAGCTTGAGCCCAAACTGAGAGTGTAGTTGTGGTCAAGGAAGTTGTCAAATCCCCTGCAACTTGACTGACCAGAACCCCAGTCCATGTGCGTACATGGTTTGAATCCCAAAGTGTTGAAAGAAGCGGAAAACAAGTCGTGCTGCAAAGCGTCACTGGCCTGGTTACCCACATGACTGTTCCTTGTCACCTTCAGCAAGCTTACGACGCTTGGCATCATCTTCGGTGTTGGAGGTGGGCCTTTTGAGCATCGACTTGAGCTGGTCCTGCTGCTCTTGTGTGAGACTGACTCCAAGAGTGCTGATGAAACCAGCTACAGCTTCTGGTACTGGATCCTTCATTTCAGCATCTTCAACTAAATGGACTGGGTCAGGCTGCTTACTGACCAGGGTCATGTAGGCCGCGCTCGTGTTGTTGAGCTCGGCTTGCTCTTGTTCGATCTTGGTCTGGATGAGCTTCATCTCATTCAACAAGTCTTGGAAGGCCTTCTTGGTGGCATCGATCTTGGATTGCAGGGTCTGCTTCCGATAGGACAAATCCCTCAAGCTGGAGACTTGGTGCTTGAGCTTGTTGGCGACATCCTTTTCCGTGGGTGGCTGAGGCTTCGCGATCTTCTCAACCAACTCCTTCACAGGTGCCGGAAGTTGCGCCAGGTTGTCCCTTAGCACATCCTGCAAGTCCGGCTCGGCTTGGAGGAGGTGGAGAGATGCCAATCTCAGTGAGCTTCTGTTGAAGGCCCGGGTCCAGCTTATCCCATGAGGATGCAAGAAGCTCTCCGGTGAGTTTCTGAACTTTGCTGGGTCTGGTGTTGCTCTTCCAGAGGCCAGGTGGTGGCGTGACACTCCGTGAGGTCTTCCATCTTGGAGCATATCCTTGGGAAGGCTTCTGCCAAGAGGTGCCGCATTGCCGACAGACTGTACCTTCTCGTACTCTGTCCTGCCATATCCAGTTGTGACATGAGGATGCCTGACAGACTTGGTAGCCACGACACCATCTTGTGGAGCTCGTCGGGGTGATGTTGCTCGAGGTGTCGAAAGAGGGTGGATGCCTGCGTCCTTCACGATCAGGCCCGAGAGAATCGGTGAGGAGTAGTTCACCCTCGTACTCAGCCCGATGTGTGTGACACACCAGGCTTGATGCTGAAATGGCTTGAGCCACGTTGTTGGACGTATATATATATATATATATTATATATATATAATTGCAGTCAGAGTTGGCCGTCTTCACAAAGAACTTGGATGCTGTGTTCCTTGTTTCATCTTGTTTCTACTGTAAATGCTTAGATGACTCAGTTTGTTCTGTCTTGGAATGGGCTTTGAGTGGCTTTACAGTGATTATCAGATTGTATTATAACTGGCTTTTGCTCCTCTTACAGTTACATTTGTTCTCAGGAGTTTATGTCGAAGACAGACCGTGCACACATGGAGGGCATAGCAGTGGCCAAGAGTGTGGATGGTGAAGTGGTAGGCAGGGATGCAGAGATGCACGCAGTGAAAACTGTTTTGAGTGGCAAGTCCAGGCAAAGATGGCCGACCTCGGCGGGAAATCCGGGAGGCGGAACTTGCAGTTGTTTGTATCCACGTTCTGCCAAGCTTGGCAGTTTTGGACTCTCAGGGTTTAGGCTATGCGCCCAGCAACCCCCCTCCTCCTCGAGAACCGGCACCGTGGTTGCTGCGCGATCAGTTGCGATCTTAGCATTTGTCCAGTGATGAGTTTCTGTGTTGTTCCGTTGCTTCTGCAAAGGACAGATGGGCAAAGAATGGCCAGTGAGGCCAGTGAGGCCTGGTCTCGAGTCCATTAAATGGTCCATGCTTGCTGCTGCGCATTCTTGAATTCTACTGCATCATACTGCATTGCATCCCTTCGATCGCTCTCCCTCTCTGCCCCGTTCTTTTTCTTTGTCCATGTGTAATGGGCGTTGTTTGCAAGTTTAATATGTGCAAAGTTGAAGAATGGTGAGGCAAGATCAGGATTTGAAGAGCGAGCTCAAAGTGAAAGCTACGCATCCATACCTGAGCCATATCAGGCAAGGCAAATGGCCGATGCTTGGCCCGGTGCTGCCAGCTTATCCTCCAGTGCTTCCAACACTAGAAGAGGTGGAGGCAAGGATTTGATGCCAGCTGCGAGCTCCGGCAATGGTTGGCAAGGACTGCAAGCACCGGTGTCTCCGCATGCTGGAAGCACGAGGCAGCCAAGCTCTGTTGAGGCCCCGCCAGCTTCCAACATGTTGAATAGTCCGAATGGCATGACTTCCTCGCAGCAGCGAATGGTACACTCACCTGAGCCAGTGCCAAGCAAGTCGACAAAGGAGCACGAGGCCTGGTCATTTCCCCAGTTGTTTTTTGTGTTTGTGTTCTTGCAAGTTTTTGAAACCCAGATTTTGTCGTGCAATTCTTGAGCTATCAACTTCCTGAGAAGATGCCGGGATTGCGAACTGACAGTTGCGACAATTGAAGGCAGCAAAAGCTTGTGAACGCTAATTGCCAAATCTTCTGGCATTCGCCACTTTCCACGGTTTGACATGCTTTAACTTCGTATTGGTCCAAAAAGGATAGAATGATCACTGGCAAACACCTCCCCTCCAACTTGTTAAAGAGGTTATTATGATTCTTAATTCTCAATGTAAAATGCCTTTGTGAAACGCAACAGATGCTCCGGAAATGTTTCGGGCAAGTTGTTGCAAAAGACTTTACCGGCAAAACACTGCAACAGCAACTCTGATGTTGGCATTTTTATATCGTATCATAAGCTTTGTATGCCATTTGCAGTAGATTTGCTTTTCATTATTTTTGACGGCCCCCTGCGCATTCCCAGGATGCCGCAGCAGATCAGTGAAAACCCAAGTTGATTCAATTTGGCACTCCTTCACCTGCGCCCGATTCGTAGCATGATCCATGTTCAAGAGTGATCCTCCGCCTCATCAAGCTCAGCGAGACAAGTTGTTTGACATCACTCTGTGATCGCGAGGATTGATCTCAGGAGTTAGAAAAGGACCGGGGAACACTCACGTGGAGTGCCTTTTCGAGCTGCCTTTGCAGCAAAGGAAACTCTCCAAGAAAGCATGGGGAAGTGGTTCTGGTGAACCGTTCGTGTGGCTAAAGGAAATTGCAAAACAAGGCCCCAATACAGGAAATTCTCAATGTCGTTCACCACTGCTCAACTTTGCCACAGCGCTGCACAGCAGACCAAAGGCTACTGTACTGTTCCAGTAACATAGAGCAAACAACCAGAGACTCATTAAATACTTGTTGATGTTTGTCTCGTTTTCAGCAAGAGGTAAGACTTATTATGCAGCTGTACGTTTCTCACCGGCCGGTTGCATGTCACATACCTAGAGCATGTCAAGCGGAATGTGGATGATCTTTTGGATTGGCATTCGGCTTCACCAAATGCATCCCATGTGAATCCAAAATGTGCAGGTGCAGTCACTGCGTGATGCTTTGGCTTCAGCCACGAAGGCGGCGCCAGAGGTGGAGGCGCTTGAGAGTGGGAGAGTCAGATTTCGTGAGAGAGTTTGCGTCGTTCTGCTCGTTCTGATCGTAGGCTTTGCTACTTCGCAGTGCTTCGACCGGTTTGGCGCTCAGATATTGGCGGTTTGTTTTTTCGCTTCATTCCCATTGTGCAGAGTGTACTGTACAAGATAAATCGATCAGCTGCACGTCATGCCCTTTTCGTAGCTCATGCGAAGTCTGCTAGGTGGCAACTTGCTTTTCACCTGTTGGTTGTTGCAGGCAGCACGCGGACAGAACTTCCTGTCATTTTGAGTAGTGATCTTTTATTTAAGACGCTGGGGGCCCCAGGATAAACTTGCCATGAATCTGGATCATTTGGGTGGTTCATGGTGGTTCAAAGTGTGAGCCTTGCCACCAATAGCAGGCTAGTCCCAAGTGGATTCCTGCAAGATTTGTCTTGCAGATACCAGGCAGGATCAAGAGAATTGTAAAGACCTGTACAGTAGCTGGTTTTCTCTTTGATGACAAGACTCGTGCAGGTCCACATTGATATCAGCGCAGATGAGTCATTACCAGCGTCCTTGAGACAAGTGGTCCAGAGCTGAGGCGTACTTCTGACACTTGTGACTGTGAACAAACAGTCGGCCTATATACACGGCTTGCTCGCAGTCACCTCAATGCCCAAGCAAAACTAGGTATTAAGTGGCACTGCTGCTGCCAATGCAGCGGCCGCCTACTGGTTGCAGGACAGTATGTTGTGTGCTTTGCTTTGATTTGCGTAATGGTGCTTCTGAACAAGAGATTTAGTTGTACAAGACAGCCAAAAAGAGCAGCTCACGTGGTCACCCTGCAGGTTGGGACACTGCGCCATTTGGTGAGAGACGGCTGAATGCATGTGGTGAAGAGTGCTGAGTGCGCCTCCCAAATCCTCTCAATGACCGACGAGCTGCCTTCATCTCCTTGGTGACACGAACAGCATGCTGAACGTCCAGGACCACCGCCTATTCCGGCACAGTTCGAAGACTGAACTGGACAATGTACATAGCAGCAAAGTATTCTGCTGATCACGGAAAACAAGAAGGTGTAAGTTGCAATCATGACAATGTTTGGCATAGTGGCAGAACTAATTGTCGTGAAGCGGCTGCTGTGGGTGCTGTATAGGCGCTTCCCTTTCGACCTGACGAAAAGGCGAAGATTGGCTGAGGCGGGATGTTTCACTTCAGAGAGTTCTCTCATTTTCTGAAATGTTTGCCTTCATGTTGCAATGTCCTTTATGTTTGCTTTGTGCCTGTGGCCCTATATCACAGCTGCAGCTTTTGGTTTGGAGTGAGCCAGAGCCACACGATTATTTGAGTACAGATAGCACCTGAAAGCGCCATGCTGTCCAGACCTTAGTTACAGAATGTTACAGACTGTCAAGTTTGTCACAATGATGTGTTCATACATGTTCA